AGGGTTCAGGGTAGGGTTCAGGGTAGGGTTCAGGGTTTAGGGCTTGGCTTTTACGGGTTCAGGCTTGAGGTCTAGAATTTCGGAACTAGGTTTGAAACACAAGCTGCTGAAGGTGATGACTGGGTTTCTCAAAGAGGTGTTTAGGGTTTAGGGTTTAGGGTTTAGGGTTTAGGGTTGCCGATTCCGTGGGGCTGTTTACACAAGAAACCCAACCTGTAAATCCCGCGGCGAGGTCATGGCGCAAGACCGCTGATCGCTTCCTTTTTAACCAGGCTCCAGCACGGGTATGCTGAAAACGAGCGCAAGATTATCCTCGTTGGCCAAGTCTTGGACCCTGTAAAAGCCTTTGCAAAGAACCCTACGCAGCCCTTATGAAGCCCCTATCGATCCTCCCTAAACCCCTAAATCCCTAAAAGTACCCTTAGAGATCCCTTATAGGAAGCTTTGTAGCTCCTTTACAGGAAACCCCTCAACCCCGAAATCCCTTAAAACGTAAGACAGACTAAACCCTAAGTCCCTAAACCCTAAACCTAAAACCCTAAACCTTTAAATCCCCCAAACCTAAACCCTAAACCCTGAAACCCTAAACCCCTAAATCCCTGAAACCTACAACAGAGAGCCTCATCGGGATAGGTTGGGGCTAGGAACTCGAAGTTCAGCCGCCGAAGCACCTCTCAAAGAGGGCTTTTAGGGCCCTTGAAGGGTCTAGGGTTCCTTTAAAGGAGCTATAACGGTTCCTCTAAGGGATCTATACGGGTACTGTTAGGTTTTAAAGTCCTTGAAGGGTTTAGGGTTTAGGGGGATTAGGGGAGGGCTTTGGCCCTTGAAGGGTTTAGGGTTCGCTTAAAGGAACGATAAGGTTTCCCATAAGGGATCGATAAAGGTACTAAAGGGTTTTGGGGTCCAGGGTTTTAGGGTTCAGGGCTTTAGGGTTTTTCCTTGTACGGTTTAGGCTTAAGGGGATTTTAGGTTTTAGGGTGTTAGGGTTTAGGATTTTTGGGTGTAGGGCTTTGGGTTTAGGGTTTTTGGTTTCGGGTGGCGGAGCAACAAAAGGGTTTCGGGTCTAAAAACCTACATTCTGAGGAACTTATTTCTGCAAGGAAAGCGTGTTGCAGGGTTCAGGCAAGACTTGTGTGCTACCCCTAAACCCTAACCCCGACAGTGGGTTCCAGGATTGCCTTTTGTCACGTTCAAGCCTAAACCCTCAAAGGCAGGGCTTGTGTAGGGTGTTGAAAAACTTAGGGTTTAAACCCTAAACCAAACACCCTAAACCGTGGTTTACAGTCTTGGAAACCTGCGGCCTTAGAATTTGCTGGGGTTTAGGGAAGTAGGGCATAGGGTGTAATGTAGGAACCTGATTAGGAAACCCTGGCCCCAAAGGAACCCCAATAAATACCCAGGTTTCTTAATCAGGTTCCCATAGTAGGGTTTAGGAGCTTGGGGGATCCTCTTGGTTGTGTTGCTCTTGTTTCCCATCCTCCCATCACTACTGGCTCTGTTGCTACTGAACTGCTGGCAATGCGTCTATTCCCACTGCGAGTGTCGCACTTCTGCTCCGCTAGTTACTACCACCACCACCACAAGCCTCTGAGTTGAACTTGACCAGAGGAGTCAAAGCACCCCAAACTGCAAGATAGGGCCAGGGCTGTCGGGGTTCAGGACCCCTGGGGTATGTTGGACTTTGGGACTATACTAGCACCAGGGTTACACCCAGGTATAGGATGTAGCACTACTTACGTTTGAGGCTCCTGTACTCACCCACTGAACCACGTTTCCAAATCCGAAGCGGTTGAATCCTAAACCTCCCAACAGCCTACAGCCCTCAACCCTAATGCCCCTATGCAACCCTGATAGAGCCCTCGTAAAAGCCACTCCGAACCCTCATCCTTAAGCCCTGAACCCTCAACCCGAAACTCCAAACCCTGAATCCAACACTTGCTTACCCCCTGTCGCACTCCTTTTCTGGCACTTCTGCACAAGATGTCCAAGGCAGCCGCAGCAGCCGATCCAGGTATTATCAGTCAGACACCACCCTACTCAAAGGGCGGGCGGGTGGGGTTGTCACACTTGGCGGCACACCACCGTGCCACCAGCACACACACACACACACGACGGACCCAGTCGCTGCTCCAGTGCATGCAAGTGTTCGCGGCATGCACGCGTGCAGGCACCACAAACACTTGCTTACCCCCTGTCGCACTCCTTGTCTGGCACTTCTGCACAAGATGTCCAAGGCAGCCGCAGCAGCGGATCCAGGTATTATCGCCCACTGCAAGGTGCAGAGTGCCAGATAGTTGAGCCCACAAGTAACCTGCCCCAAACTGCAAGGTGGGATCAACCCCATGGCTCTCGCAAGATCTCCATGACATCCACGCAGCACTGATTCTGTGGGAGAAAACCAAAGAGCGTCAGACCATGCATAACGGACACCTGCGATATGAGAGACATGAAGACCAACACCATGCTTGCAAGCAAAACAGCCCAAGGCTTGTAAAACAAAGCTCAAAGGCTCTTTCTGCGACAGCAGATGCGTTCCGAGCTTGTCGACTTCGTTAACTCCCAAGGTTTCCAGTGTTCTGGTCAGGTCGTCGAGCATCAGCCTTTTCTCCTCGATGCGTGGAGGGCGTTGAGTCTGGCCACGTGTGACGTGGACTGCGCTTTACCTGGCATTCTTGCGGAAGGAGTGCCCACGGGTATACTGCACCCCATTGAGCCGTCTGGAGTACGGGAAGAATCCTCAGAATCCACAGCCGATGATTTGGAGCTGCTCGTGCATTATATGAGCCCTGGAAAAGTACCAAGCTGGATGAAGCTTTAACGCTTTCTTTGCTCATGAAGGATGTAGAAGCTGGTCATGCGTTCATTCTAGAGGGAGGCGAGGAGGAGGCCAGGCGCCGATGGGGCAAGCATGTTGCGGCTGGGAAATTGGGCGTTGTTCATGCGTCGGGCAAGAAAAAGCCTCGCCTTTTTGGGGATGGCTCCATTTCTGGAGCCAACCAGTCTTCTCGCATCAGGGAGCGTGTTCGACTACCTGGTCTTCACAGTGTGCAGCGCTTCTTCTCGAAGCGTGGGGACAAACGCAAGTGGGTGGCTCTTTCTTTTGATGTGAAGGGTGCTCACAAGCTGGTTCTTGTACGAGAGCAAGAACGGGGCTTCAGCTGCTTTGTCCTGGATGGCAAATGGTTTGTGTACCGCAGTTGTTACTTCGGATGCAAGTGGGCTGCTTTACTGGTTTTCTCGGGTTGGGGCCTGGCTGGTGCATATTCTTCACAGGTTTGTGTGGATTCCGCATGCATTGATGCTCTACGTTGACGATGCATTTATGTTGTTGCCAAAATCAGTCGGGCCATTGGTTGCTTCGACTGCCATCATGCTTGTGTCGGCGCTGGGTGTGCCTTTGAGCTGGGCCAAGCTGGGCATTGGCAGCGATTTGATTTGGATTGGTTGGCGCTTTGATTTTGAAACAGGTATTGTTCTGCTCCCTCCTGACAAGGTCGAGTCATTGCTAGAGGCCTTGGATGAGATGCGCCGCAAAGGCCAGCGGCTGCCTCGCAAGCGCGTGGAGAAAGTCATCGGCAAGCTCACGCGGTTCACGTCTGGAGCTTTATGGCTTCGGCCGTGGCTGAATGAATTTTACTGCTTGCTGCGCAAGCCGCGTGCCGTAACTCGTTTGTTACTTGTCAGTCAGTTTGAAAACTTGATGGCTGTTCTTTCTTCCGATCTTGCTGTTGCGGCGGATATGAAAGAGTGCGATATTCTCTCAAGGGCTGGAAACTTCACTCGGTGGCTGGTACAGTGATACGATCCAAGTACTGCACTGCGACTGCAGCGCCACGAGTTCGCAATGCGTGCGTCAGTGTTGCGCTGTATGCCTTTGATGATGCTTCCACTACTACCACTTCGAGGAGTGCGTTTGCAGCGGATTTCTTCTTTCACGCCTTTCGGGCGCAAGCGCCTATCCCGCTGCGAGTTCGGTCGGCTGCTTCTTGGACGGGGGCGGCGGATGCCTTTGCGACGCAGCATGTAGCCGGCGTGGGAGGATGGTGGCTGCCTGCCGGGTTGCATTGCGTCCTCAGCATGTTCGATGGTTTCAAGTGTCCCTATCAAGATCTTGTTTGCCGAGTTGGTTTCGCGCAGAGGACTCCTCGTCTTTGCAGAGCTGCATTGCTGCTCTTGAGGCATTAGCGCAGCTGGTGTTACTTCTCGTCCGTCTGAGAGTTGAGCCGGTGCGAGATGAGGGCCAATTTGTAGTGCAGTTCTCGCAGTTATGCGACAACCAGGCTGTGTGTTCGGCGACTCTGAAGAGAGACCTCAGCATCTGTAAACAGTGAATCCTCTGATCCCCGACGCGCATGCGACAACAATCTGCCGACCAACCCCCACTCGGCAGCCAACTGTATAAAACGACGTCTCAAACCAGCGAAGATATCAACCCCAACACGAGGACATAGCCAGTCAGCATCAGAAGACACACCTCCCCCATCTAAGATCGGTATCTTCTCCCCAGAGATTGACGCAGAATCCGATGACACTGACTGCGATGGAATAACAGGCACAGATGCGCTCTCAGGCAAATTCACACAGTTTGCCGTCATCTGGCATTGGCCTGCCGGCCCATCGCTCGTCGCTTCTTGCCTCGGCGACAAAATAGAACATTGCTCATCAGACGAAGACAGGAACACGTCGACACCACTTTGCTCCACCCCGTTGCCCACAGACGGGACCCCATCCACAACTAGTCACTGATGCTGCTTGCATTCCGCGGCGCCGTGGTCAGGAGAATTGCACTTGTCACAACGATGCGGAAAGCGGCAATCCTTGCGAGTACATTTCCCTTCTTGAAAGGAGAAGCACACGCCAGAAATATACTTCTGGCGCTCCTTGCTATCCTTGCCTTCATCCCTGCTGCGACGTTTCAAAGCAAGGCGCTCATAACGATCACCACGGTCACCATTCCCGGTGAGCTTGACAGGCATCTTTGTCGGCTTTGGCACTGCAGCAAGTCTGTGTCGCAACAGGTCATCACGAACGACCGTGTCCAGAGCCGTGTCAATGCCTGCATCGTCGTGGTACACCATACGAAAAACCTCTCCGATGACCTCTCTATCAACTTCTTCAGCTTCACACGACGTCAGCAGCCGAAATCCTTGAACAGGGCGACGAGAGTAGTAGGCAACAAACTTACTCACATACTCCATCCAATTGTAAAGGGTACCCCCGCCGGTGCACATTGAATAAGCGTGGGCCCGAACTGTGAGGAGTTGGCATACTTTGTGAGGAGCACTGAGGAGATCCAAATCCCACTCTTCATCACATAGACCAGCCGCTTCCGCGACGATTGTTGCCATATCGCGCTTCTGAGAAGAAGCCTTGCGAGACTGCACTTCCATGGCAGCTTCCTCCGACAGAATTTTTCGCCACGGTAACCACGCCCACGACTTCGAAGAGCACTGCGACTGAATATTACCCAAATAGCCGACAGCCGGAAGTACTCCTGAATGCAAGACAACACCCGGGTAATTCTTATTGAACGACTTCACCAGCCGTTCGCGGTCTGCTGCGCACAAACGTGAACCACCCAGGTCCAGCCCCAAAGCCTGGGCGGGCACCAAGGCAGACGTGCCTGGCGACGCAGCCGGCATCACCTTGATCTGTTTCGCACATAATCTCTCCCACGCCAGCCGCATAGCGCCAGCAGCTGGGTGCCACTTCCAATTGTCTTCCGAAGCCACGCCCAGATCAATCAACAGCTTCTTGGAAAACGAGTCCAAGTCCTCCTCCCGGCGAAAGGAACAACGAAAAACATCTTCCGTCGCATATATCTCACAGAGCTTCTTCATGACATTCTCAGGCACTGAAGCATCCTGCAGGGAGATCTTGAGATCCCCGGACATGCTAACAAGTACAAGAAAGAGAGCAAAGCGTGACAAGATCACGTTTGTACGGCTGAATACTCACAACAAATGTCGATAACACCAATCTGACGCCGGCATGCGGACCCAGCATGCCACCACCACACAACGTCCCACAACAGTGCGACAAGATGCACAGGCACACGGCAATCCTGACGTCCGCCAAGACGAACAGGAAACTGTCTCTCCACAGTGAGGCATGAAATACACAGGCACGCGGCCAACATGAGGTCCCCAAGACCCACACAACTGCAAAGCCCGACCCTGAGCTAAACAAGCGAGCAAGTAGCAAGCGCACGCTACCCAAAAACTGACTCTGCCAACACACGTGATAGTCCACGTAAGCTATCTGCAGCCATCGTGCGTGCACCTGGAGAACCCTAGCTCATACGGATTCGACACCCTGAACTCGTAGCTGTCATGAAGTGCTGCATGTGGGCGGCATGCCAATACCCACGAAGCCCCATCGTCCGTGGACACCGCCTTGTGGACAAAGCCCGTCACACAATTGAGTATCCATGGTCCTGTGTCCTCTTTTGGCACGGCTTCGTCATCGGAGGCAAATAACATAACATCTTCATCGCTCGGGCAAACAGAAGACACGGACTCACAATCCGGCATGCCACCAGGAGAAGTCACAACCTCAGCCGCAGCTGGAACACACGTGTCACAAGCTGAAGACGGCAGCACAAGATGACCAACACCGCGGTCAATAGGAGTACATGGCTCCCAGCCCGCAGCAATCGCAACCAGAGTCTGCTTCTGACAGCGAAGTTTGCCGATAACATCATCTCGGCCGTAGCGCGGCACACACTTGGAAACACCTGCCACACGGTGATGTCCCTGAGCAGATTTTCACACTTGGTGGCACACCACCGTGCCACCAGCACACACACACACACACACACACGACGGACCCAGTCGCTGCTCCACTGCATGCAAGTGTTCGCGGCATGCACGCGTGCAGGCACCACACAAACCCGAAACCGTTTAGCACCCTTATTAGACCCCTGAACAAGAAAAAACCTTATAGCTCCTTTAAAGGAAGCCCCACACCCTGAATCTAAGGACTTTAGGAGGGACCCCTAATAGGGACCCTTAATCCCATTACCTTAAATAACCATTGTGTAGTCCTGATATACCCCTTATATAGCCAGGTAGTCTCCATATTAACGCCAAGAACCTACAAGGATCCCGATTAAGGGTCCCTCCTAAAGCCCTTAGACTCAACCAAGGCCTCCTTGAACAAGGTGTGCAGGACTTGGCAGACCGCGTCTCCGTAGCCCTGCTTCAGCTTCCCAGGAACTGCTTGGACCTCAGGTCAGGGTTTGTAGAACCTAAGCCCTAAACCCTAAACCTGCAAAACCCCTGAGCCCCTAAACCCCTAAACCCCTAAACCCTCAGTAGAGGGTTCAGGTCCGGGGTTTTGACCGAATGTCTTGAGCATATACTATTTTGGAAGTTTCCTTATTGTAGTCATAGTATACTTTAGGATATCGGGGCATTAATATTTGGAATAGGGTTTTGGGGGTTTCCTTATTGTAGTTATAATATATCATTGCTTTTTGCTTTTGGCTTCCACTCGTGAGCTGGGCTGGGCTTCGCCGGGCTGGCGGGCTGTTAGGGTTGAGAGGTTTTGGGTTTAGGGCTTAGGGCTTGGGGTTGAGGGTTTAGGGTTTTGGGTTGAGGGTTTAGGGTTTAGGGCTTAGGGCTTAGGGTTTAAATAGGCTGACCTGGCACATTCCCCAACCTGGGCTGGGCTGGGCAGCGTGGGCTTGGGCTGAAGGGGCTGCTTGATTGTGCTGGGGCTGGGCGGCGGGGCTCGCTGGCTGGGGTGCTGGGTTCGCTTGGCGAAACGTTTTGATCACGGCTGGGCTGGGCTTGGGTCTGGAGAGCTAATGGTTGAACAGTTTTTCCTTGTTGCTTTTGATTTCGAATTTTGGGCTGGGCCGGGCCTGGGCAGTGTTGCGCTGGCTGGGCTGCCTGGGCTGGGCGGCTGGGTTGCGCGCCGGCTGTGCTGAAGTCTTCTTTGCTGGTCGTACGGTGTTTATTGCTCCCACTGATGTTGCTTGTATTGTGTTTTTGTCGGCCTGCACACTTTCAACTCTAATTGAAGCTTCAAGCTACGTAACGCAGTTCAAGGAGCTGCAATGTCCTGGAATACAATTTCTATGTATCCTGGTCTTGCGGGTTTAGGGTTGGAAAAAACCCTAAACCCTAAACCCTAAACCCCCAAACCCTAACTCCTAAACCCTAAACCTTAGACTCTAAACCCTAAACCGTAAATCCTAAACTGTAGAGATTTGGAGTGTGTTTGGAGCAGGATTCTATGGCTTAGTTAGGGTGAAACCCTAAACCTTCAACCCTCAACCCAAGCTGCGTGTCGCTCGGTGTTGTGGCACCAATGACAGTAGCAACACGTATAGGGTTTCGGGTTTAGGATTCCTAAACCCTAAACCTCAGTACATAATGGCTCTATCAGGGTTCAAGGCATTATGGCATCAGGGGCTTCAAAGATGTAGATAAGCAGGATCCCACAAAAAGAGTCCTTGTAGATGATGAAGTATCCTCGTCCCATCCAGCTTCATCCAAGTTAGATTTGAGGCCCTTAAACCCTGAACCCAGAAGGGTTTAGGGTTTAGGGCAGTTTCGGGTTTAGGGCAGCTCAGGGTTTAGGGTTTAAGAGCAGTTCAGGGTTTAGGGTATGTGCTTTTCAATCCGCCTCTAAACCAAACACCCCTAAACCCTAAACCCTAACTCAATCTTGACCCCAGACCCCCTACCTTGCACCCCCATGACATCAGGCTGAGCAAGCTTCGGAATTTAGTGTGCTGGTCCAAACGCGTCATCAGTTTAGGCTTTAGGTTCCACTTGTAATTGCAGAAACTAGGTTCAGCACATCTAAAATCATCAAACAGATATGCCCTAAAACTGTAGGTTTTCTGGGTTTCGGATACCGTTAAGGGTTTAGGGCTTCTTTTGCTCGGGGTCTTAGCATTTAAACTCAGTTTTGCATAAGGGCTCTTCTTATGTACGAGTCTACGGGTTCGAGACGATTTGAACAAGGGCAATATGTGTGTTGGTGTTAAACCCTAGACCCTGGACCCTAAAACCAAAACCCGAAACCCTAAACCCTAAACCCCAAACCCTAAACCCCAAACCCTTAATGAGGATACTGTAGGGCAAGACCCTAGACCATAAACCAAGACCCCCAGACCTTAATGAGGGTATTGTAAAAGCCTGTTTGGGAATTTCTGACAGTATATCCACATGGGGATGACAACGGGATGTGACCTCTTCACTAGGGCTGGGTGTTTGGACGCCCTAAACCCTCTCGGGACGAACCCCCGAAGTCTTTTGCCTCTCCGCTCAGGGCTGTACAGCTTTGGCAGAGACGCGGCTGGCGGCAAGAGCTACTGCACGCTCGGATGCTACTGCGCGTTTTTACAATGGGGTCTACCAGGGCTCTGCAAGGGTTCAACCCTAAAACCCTAAAACCCTAAAACCCTAAACCCTAAACCCTAAACCCTAAACCCTAAACCCTAAACCCTAAACCCTACAAGGGATAGTATGAGGACTTCTGAGTGAGGCTCGGGGTCAAGCTTTCAAGCTTGAGGTTTGAGGGCTTCCAGGTTCCCAGGGGATTCATGTAGAGGCCTTAATAGTTAGAATAGGGTTTTGGGCTCCTTTCCAATATAGTTCCAATCACGAGCCCTTAGGATGAATAGTGTACTGGGGTCTTTGTGTCCAAGGGCGAAAGGCGTAGGGTGTTGCTTATTGCCAGTACTGTTGCGGCCGTACTCAAGAGTGTGCCCTTTTGGAGACCACGATAAAACCCCGTGTTACCTTGTTCAACCGTTTCAAACCCTGCAAAGCTCTTCTAGAACACTTATAGAAACCCTGGAAAACAGTATAAGACCCCGTAAAATGTTGCACAATCCTCAACCCTTATGAAACCTGCACAGAGCTATTGAATCCCACAAACCCTCTACAGAACTTGTCAGACCCCTATAAAGGTTTTAAACCATCATAAAAGATTCGCAGCTGATAAACAATCCATAGAACCCTTCGGAGTCTGACAAGACCCTGTGTTATATGGGCGCCTTAGTTAAGAGAATAGGGGAGTTGGTGCTAGGCTATTTTACTCAATTCAGAATGGGGAACCCTCAGGAAATTATTCGTGATTATGCAGGGGTTTCTAACGCAGGCCCCTCAATCGCTCACAAGAAGGCTCTCGGCGAACTTGTCGGATCGCTGCAGGCCTGGGGCAGCTTTGGGTTTCGCGTTTAGGGTTTAGGGTCTAGGGTTTAGGGTTTAGGGCTTAGGGTGTGTATACAGTGCTGCGTCGTGGGTGCGCTTCTTTAGGAATGGGGGCGCACCCACTTATCGCGCGCTTGCGTCAGCATGTAGTCCCGCCCCGACCACCGCAAGTATTCTCAACAAAAGTCTCATGTGATTGAAAGAGAAGGGCAGGGGGACGAAGGATGTACAAAAGTATACAACCCCTGTGCTACGGAAACCATGAGGGCGCGGGGCTGCACTTCTGGTGAAGCAGCCCCAGGGACTGCACAACCCTTGCCTGACGTCGCTAATAACGTGACGGACCGAAACGCTGCCGCAGCAAACCTGTACCAGAGGAGATGAAAGCAAACAGCTCTGCAGCCTCACTGCCCGACTGTCCCTCCGAAACATCTGGCAACGTCAGGACCGAGAGTGGGGTCACAAGTCAGCCAACGGCAGCTCGTGGACGGCTATTCTCAATTAGGGCTTGGGGCTCAACCCCCAAAACCCCCCCAAGAAGGGCTTTCTTGCTCTCTGCTTCCCCTCGCAGTTACACGTTTCGCAACAAACCAGCTGAGATGGATTCGTGTCGGGTTGTGGGTTCTCGCAGCCTGTGCCGGCCGCGCCCCTCGCAGTCGCACCTTGTCAGGGTTGCTCGTAACTGGACGAGATGAGTATTGAGCTGGCTCAGGGAAGAGGGGGAAGCCGCTTGGCTGGTGAAATCGGCCAGCCTGGGGTGCCAGACTTCCCAGACCCGCCGTCTTGGCAGACCCGAAATCTGATTTTTGGAAGGACCCCTCGGAGCCCAGAGGCTCAATGGTGAGGGATTTGGAGTCCTTCCTATTCCGGGCTGATGCCCGCAGTGTTTCCGTCCCGGAGGCTTTGCCCTCCCTCACCGTCCTGACGAGACAGACGCTCGGCGCGGGCCTCGGTCGGAGCCTCGAGCGGCGCTTTCGGCAGTTTAAGGTCTAATGTTTAGGGTTTAGGGTTTAGGGTTTCAGGGTTCCGGGTTTTAGGACTTAGCATTCAGGGTTTAGGGCTTACGGTTGAGGTTTTGGGTTTGAGGATCTAAGGGCCGGTTAGAGTCAAACTGGGCTTTGGGGTATATTATAGTATAGCGATGATAAAGGGCCCTAAGGAATAGTGTTTGTTCAGGCTCCTATATTAAGGGTTTCGGGCTTCGGGCGAAACGCTACACCCTAAACCCAAACCCGAAACAACCAGGGTTTCTCAGGGTTTGGGTGTTGTCCCTGAACCCTAAGGGTTGCAGGCAGTCGAGCTCGGGGTTCGGGGGATAATGGCGGTTCTATACGTTTTTTTTTAGGCGGTTTCAAAAGGTTCTGAAGAGGTTCCTACGGGGTTTTGGACGGAAAGGGTTCTATCAGGGCTTCTACCCGTCTGATAAAAACCCTTTTTATGGAACTCTCTGCGACTTTCCATAAAGGTTTAGACCAGGAATGTAGGGTAATACTCGAGAGATCAAGGGGCCAGGGGCTGAGTACTTAGGGATGAGTAAAGCGTGTATAGTTATATCGACCTACTACTTCTGACTCCAACTGGCACAGGGTTTTCGCCCTTCGCAGAACTGGCCATGAACTTTGATCAAGGGGTTTAGGGTTGAGAGGTTTAGGGTTCAGGGTTTTGTTGATGCAATGCGCCCCTTTCCGATGCTGCAGAGGGTTCAGGGTTTAGAGTTTACGCTTTGGGGCTTGGACATCGGATACCGTTTCAGAGACATTCTACTTCTGTACGTCCAACTTTCAACACGTGCTGCGGCGGCCTGCCAGCACAGTGTCGGCGTCAAACTCCTCATGTTCGACGAGTTGCTCCGAGAGTTCAGGCCGGTTCAGGCAGCAAGCAATCCCAATGAAAGGTCGAATTCCTGTTCAAAGGTTGTGTTAAGGCGAGGGTGCCTTGTCGGGATTCTTGCACCAGCAACATCAATATTAGTTCGTAGTACTGATACCGCAACCTGACCAGCATCTGCACCAGTACTGCTTCAAGTATCAGTCTTGGGACGATTCCTACTTTAGTCAGCCACATCATCTGATACTCTTTCGATGATGGCAATATGGATATTGAGCATTTTGTTGTCATCAATCTTGGCAGTGTAGGCACCGTCTCACTAACAAGCGGAAATGGCACCTATCACAAGTCCGAACCCTGCCCAACCTTACACCTAAGCCATAAACCCAAACCTCCAAATCTTGCACCGCTCGGTCCTCGCCCTTTCCCAGCTGATGTGAAAGCTGATCTGGTGAGCACCGGAAAGGTCCTGGAAACTCACTCGGAGGTTCATGGTTAGCTATAAGAGGGGTTATACGTCCCTCTATGTTGGGATAGAACCAAAGTTGCCCTAATTAGAAGTATCCACGAACCTCCAAGTACTCGGAGGCTGTCGATTGTCATTGTGGTTGCAAGGGCCCTCTGCAGGCTCATGATGCTCTAACTTTCTCAACACTTCAACCTATGTTTGAGCCACAGCATACTGCAAGCCCTATGACACCCTAACAAGAGAACAACAACCAAAAAGTGCCCGAAGATCTAACCTAAACCCTAAACCCTAAACCCTAAACCCCAAACCCTAAACCTATATTTGCTTTGCCGGAAGCCAGGCCCCGAAAGCCTAAAGCGGAAGCCCCAAACCTGCAACCCGAAACCCCAAACCCAAAACCGTCTAAACCCGAAACCTTAAACCCTAAACCCTAAAGCCGTAAACCCTAAACCGTTTAAACCTTAAATCGCTTAAACCCTAAACCCAAAACCTTAAACCCTAAACCCTAAACCCCTGAACCCTAAACCCTAAACCCTAAACCCCTAAACCCACCTGAACCCTAAACCCTAAACCCACCTGAACCCTAAACCCTAAACCCTAAACCGCTAAACCCTGAACCCTTCGCCTCGCTCGCGCTTCAGCCGCTCCAGGAACTCGGCGCGGGTGTAGATCCGATGGCCCAGCTGCCGCTTGTACTCCTTTGAGGGTTTAGGGTTTAGGGTTGAGGGTTTAGGGCTTAGGGTTCAGAGGTTTAGGGTTTAGGGTTTAGGATTCTTGGGTTTAGGGTTTAGGGGTTAAGCTTGAAGGTTTAGGGTTTAGGGAATGGGTTTAGGGTTTAGGGTTGAGGGTTTAGGGTTTAGGGTTTTGGGTTTAGGGTTTAGGGATCAGGGGTTAAGGTTGAAGGTTTAGGGTTTAGGGTTTAGGGTTTTGGGTTTAGGGTTCAGGGTTGAAGGTTGAAGGTTTAGGATGTAGGGTAGTTCTCTAAATTAGGATCCATTTTGGGAGGGTCCTTTATAAAGCGCTGTACCAGTTTAACGACCGAAGGAAAGGGACTCGAATTTGGAGAACGACCTATTTAATTTAGGGTTTAGTTCAGGGGCCTAAAGAATTACCAATACTATTTTGGGGGTTCCTTATTAGCATTATAGTATAATGGGCCCCAAAACCCGATTCTACTTATTAAGGCCCCTATATTAGGGTTCTGGAGCCTTCATAAGTGGAAAAAAAGAAACAAAACGTCGCGAGAAAGAGGTTGGAGCCTAAACCCTAAACCCCTAAACCCTAAACCTCTGAACCCTTAACCCTGAACCCCTATACCCTAAACCCTAAACCCTAAACCCTAAACCCGTAAACCCTAAACCCCCCTGAACCCTAAACCCTAAACCACAAAAACCGATGAGTTGCGGGACTTGGGGGTTTGAGTCTCTGAAGGCTGGAGGATTTCCATGGGGTCTACACTGTGGCCGAAACGACCAGCCTGTTTACGGCACTATATATATATATATGGGTAGTCCTCTAGATTCGGGTCCCTTTTTAGGGTTTAGGGTTTAGGGTTTAGGGTTTAGGGTTTAGGGTTTAGGGTTTAGGGTTTAGGGTTTTAGGTCCCCGAAATAGTACGGCACCCTTATAAAAGGGACCCCTAAAAGGACCCTAATTTAGACAACTACCCATACAGAAACCAAAACAAGGAACCACAAAAATGGTAGGTCTTTTCGGCTACACGTTCGGCATGGGCAGTCTACCTAAACCCTAAACCCTAACTCCTGAGAACCCGCTCCTCAAGCAAAGGGTGCGACTTCGGATCTGGCGGTGTGCCGTTGCTGCGCTCGCAGATTGTTCTTGGTTTGTTGCTCCCTAAACTTAAACCCAACAGCCTGAATAGAACTCGAGCTGTCATCTTGCACAATGTCACTGGGACCCGCTAACCCCTGCACCCCAAACTCCTTTACCACAAGTCCCTGAACCTCGATCCTTTCCTAAACCCCGACCTTAAGAACCCAAAACCTACTTTTTTTGTAGGGTCCCTATAAATCCAATATTAGGGTTTATAATAAGAACCTACAAGAAAGTGGGTTTTGGGTTCTTAAGGGAGTCCTCAAAGCCAAACCATAAAGCTGCAGAAAACCTGAAGGCCCCGGACTCTCCACCATGGGCTACTAAACCCTTGCCGCAGCCGCTGTAGAAGTTTAGGGTTTAGGGTTT